GTGTCATCCAAAACTGCTGTATAATAAAGGCAATTCGCTTGCGTATTCTTGTAAAGCCACCTGGTCGCTTCATTTTCAACGATATCAATTAACACTTTAAAATTTGCTAATTTACCGTATATTCCTATAGAAAGCACGCTAACCCCGGTTTGAAAGTTAATGTCTGCATGCGAGCCATGATTTAATGCCGTAAAAGCCACATGTAGCTCACCAAGTAGTAAATGTTTTCAGCAATGTTTTGCCAATGTTCTGTTTGCAGTAAGGTGTAAGAGATTAAAACAGCGAACAATATAGTTTGGGTTGCAGGGTGTGGTCTGTTCAATAATTCAAAGACAATATATGAAGATATGCAACGCAATCGAAGTGTTAGGGGTGAAGATTCTAAAGCCTTGGGTTTGTTCATGCATGTTTATGACCAGTTCGTAACCACCTAGTTGTATGACTCACTCAGCATGTGGCGCTAGTGTGAGTGTCACACAGACGGACGGACTGACAGACAGATGCACGGGCGGACGGAAGCAAGAGCAGACGAACGGACGTACGCTTAGCCTCACTCATCCTGAATGATGATGCGTGGAACGAAGAGTTTGTGTGTCCGTGCTATGCTGTGCTCCGTGGATATGCTGGATGGACGGACGCATGAATGGATGCATGGACAGAAGCATGGAAGGAAGCACAGATAAATGCTTCGCACTACCCACCATCATTTACTCCGTAGATATGCGGTGATTTTTCTATTTTGTCTGGACAGCACGTGTTTTTCATTCCTTTTTTTTTCCAGCCAACTGGCAAATGGCAAACTGTTTTTACACTTTTGTGAAATGCACACAACACACAGACACATTGAAAGATCATGTGGCTTAGGTTTCACACCTTTAGCTTGTATAAATAGTTAGCGAGTAGTCCAAAAAGATGCTAGTTGAAGGTGTTAACGTGCCTTGCGCCTATGTTATTTTCTGCTGTGAGAAAGTCCAGGTGCTAATGTCACATTAAAAACGAGGTCTAAAGACTAGATATCTGAGATCTTCACACTCCCGATAAAAAAAAAACTTTGTACTTCTCTGATTTTGTTTGAGTATCACCCGTTTTGACGCAAAAAACCCTGTATGTAGCCTCACTACACTCGTTGGCTACCCGTCGTGGCTATAGGGGTCTTGCGGAGAGGAAATCGTAATAGCGGATTCCGTAGCAGACGACGCGGTTGTCTCCACCCTCCGAAGCCGTGGAGTGTAGCATGCCCATCGAGGAATCCTAAGGGCGACCAGACAACAACGCGTGAAGTGCGCGTGAACGTACAGTGACTGCGCAGGCAGAAGGCGGGAGCGAGGTACTGAGTGACCAGGTTACACTAGACAGGCAGCTAAACGCGCGCGGCGCAGCACCGCCTGGCCGAAGTTGGGAGGCCTATTGTTAGGGTGATTTTACTGCGCAATATTTGATACCAAGCTACAATCCCTCGGTCTTGGTAACGGGTTTTGCATACTTTTGCAGTTCTATTGCACGTCGTGACACCAGTTTTATGCGGGCGTTCATTAGCAGCTCGAAAAATTATTAAGAGGAATTTCTTACATTGAGGAATTGCAGGAACAAAATTGAACTGCTCGACCATTACCAGAGAAGGAAGGAGGTGCTTTTTTCATTACGAGAAATTAAAAGGAATGTAATCGTGGCAAGTCCTAATTCCCCGGAACGAAATCGGAATAGAATGGAGGTGTGCATGCCGCCACACTGTATCACACAGCGAGGCATCTGCTTGTGAATGCAGTGAAAGTGACTACCTCTGCTTGAAAATGCAGCTAAAGTAACCTTGACTCTCACAAACACACGCGTCCTGTATACATGCTTTACAATACAACAAGAAATATAATATCGCAGTATTAATGCGTGGTACAAGCGTTCAGTGTTTAAAGCCGGTCACCCACTACAAAAGGCACACACGTTAGTGCACCTATTTCTTTAAGCTCACGTAACGGATGCATAGCAAATTTGAAAAGATTTCATGCACTAAGTGTTGGAAGTGTGCGCTGGGGACAGGATATCGATATCGCGTTCTACTTTTCAAGACGAAGCTTAGGGGTCCCCCAACGGTTTGTTTCAATAGCCGCCGAGAAGCTCGATGATCGAAGATGATGTTGTTCCACACAAATCTGATGAAGTTAATATACGAATCCCGATATATTTTTTCCGAGCACTGGCCTAGATTCCGCAAGCCACAAATCATATTTGCACAAACATTACTCGATTCCCTGAATGTACGAGTTCGGGATGTGCGTCCTTTGACCATGGAACTTAAGTTCGCAAACATTGTCTACCACAACATCTTGCTGAACCACGCGAAATTATTACCTTACAGAATTCTAAATGGGCTATTACAAGAACATCTAAATAATTTGCCGACGAATGTGGTTATTGCAACGGATGCATCAGAAACAGACGAAAAAACTGGCATAGCAATATTCTGCCCTCAACTTGATTGGTCTTTTGGTTACGACTGCCAGATTTTATCTCAGTTTTTATAGCGGAATTTATGGCCATAATATACGCTCTCCAAAGTTACCCAGTTTAAATACAGTAGTAGCAATTATCACTGACTCATTATCTGTGTGTTCTTCTCTCTCTGCATCTGGGGAAACGCCTCTTCTAAAGCTTTTCAGAATACTAGTTCTCGCGCACCTACAATATCTCCACTTAATTTGGGTACCAGGACACAAGGGTTTGCTTTTAAACAAAAAACACCGATTATTTAGCCAAGGCAGCGCTTTTGATGCCAATCATTCTGGTTTTACCACAGACAACACACAATACAATTGCGCGATTCTGCACCTTCACTTTCAAAGGATGCTTATCAGACCCCATTTTGACAGCTTCTCTAGAATATAAGCACCCATCGTTTCCCTGGAAAAGCTATCGCGGTCGAGAATAATAGAAGTTGCCATAACCAAACTTCGCTGCCGGGTTACCTCCCTCACCTTTAACCTGCATAGAGCATCTAAAGCGTTGTCTCCTCTGTGTATCTTCTGTAAAGAGGAGAAAACAATCAGTCATTACTTTCTATCCTGTCGCCGCTATACGTCATTGACAAGAAAATTCATAGCACCACCTCTTCGAAACTTCGGTCTGGAAATATACGAATCAGTTGTTCTATCATTCGGCTCCTCTACTCTGGGCTACAGTCACAAAGATGTTTACTACGCAATAGGGGACTTATCAGTCAGACTAAAAGAATATAGAGGTAACTTTTTCATTCTTTTATACGTTTATAATATTATTCTGTAATTATTTGTTTTGAATCCTATCCCTAGCCAATGCGAGTAGTATTGCGAAGAAACAAAAAAAAACAAATTCACCTAACACTCGGCCAATCCCCTGCATTGGGTAAGAGCCACGAGATGGGGAGAAGAAGAAGAAGAAGAAGAAGAAGAAGAAGAAGAAGAAGAAGAAGAAGAAGAAGAAGAAGAAGAAGAAGAAGAAGAAGAAGAAGAAGAAGAAGAAGAAGAAGAAGAAGAAGAAGAAGAAGAAGAAGAAGAAGAAGAAGAAGAAGAAGAATCTGTGACAGTGATGTCGAAGTATGTAAGATACTGCGTCGCACCTAAAATAAACGTTTTTGGCAAGGTAAATGCAAGAAAGAGCCTGTTATGTCTGTTTACCACAGCATACAGGGACACTGTGGACGGTTATACAATTATATTGACCGAATGGATTTGTCTGGCAACAGTGCAGCAGAGCTTACGCGCCGTTGGCAGAATATAGCACAGCATCATATGAGACAACAGAGTGATGCGCGTCATAACGCAAAAACAGGGTCCGCATGCGAACGCACATAGGAGAGCTTTTTGACCTTAGGACTTTCGGCAAGTCTTAAGGTTAAAGAAGAACAGTGGAAGATATTGAGTGACTACAAGCACCCTGTTACAAAGCCCTCGCTACACCTAAATTCTTTAGCAGTAAAAAATAAAAACAAAAGAACAATGCTGTGAACTACGTCGATGGACCGTGTCTGCAGACCGTCAAATTTCTTGTTTATTGACGTAAAGCGTGAGTATTTACACTTGTTTGTACGTCTTTTTCTTGCATTCTTTTAAATAGACTTTTCATTTTCATTTACACTTCTACGAAAAGCATGGCTTGTTCAAGAAGGGTTGTACTCCCATTAGCACTCCTGGCCTTTGGCTCGATGAATCAAATGTATCTTGGAATTGAGTGGCGCATCTGGTCTCATATTCTTCTTGCAACAGTTCATTAAGGAAATATAAAACTTAGTCAGCAGCTTTTATTGATCGCATTTATCCGGTAAGCAGGAATAAAAAATATGCAAATGATGTTCCGTCTCGGGAATGCCCTCCTTGCGATCATTCCTTCTGATGGCTTCGTTTGCCAGCATTATGTTGGAAAACTGCCTCTGTCACAGATCGGGTAACATTATTGTCTCCAGCCATTTAAATATGTTATACTTTATAAATGTTTTGAGGATTTATAAGACGTTTTAGGAATAGTCACATCATACATGAAGATTTGTTTCCAATCATGTTTTCTCTCCACCCATGCAAGCGAAATTCCAGCACTGCGACCGCAATCTGCTAAAGGGATATGAAGTCTGAGTTCAATAAAAAAGTATGTACAGATAGTGCGTAAATATATTGAACATTAGGAATCCTATTCCAGCAGAACATGCCTTCGCATTATTGTATTGTTGCCAAAGACCAGGAACCAATTATTGCTAGTGTTGCACGCCCCATAATGTAATGTTATTGAGACAGCAGCGTCGTGGAAGACTAGTATTTTTCCACTAGTGTATTAAGGTGTAAGTAAATATAAGAATGCTGGTTTTCAGTTGTTTGCCTCAATAGAAAAACAGCGCTGCGGCGGGGATACGATCCCGTCCAAAATCTTACTTGTTCTCGGCAGAACTGCAGTGTGCTGCACTGCTTCAAAAAGTGTACTCTCGAAATGATGCGTACAACAGTGGCAAAGCCAGAGAGCATTCAGCCGATGATTTTCACCTGGGTGGGCCATTGACTTCTTTGAAGTTCCAGGCATACGTGGCTGTTCGCGCCTCATAATTCACAGCCATTCGGTGAGACGCAAGGCAGTCAAAAATGGTGTCGTTGTCAGAGTCCGAAATCGCTACGGCATCCTCGTACTGAGTTATCACCTGCATCATTATAGACAGATTAAGGTACGATCATGAAGATGACAAAAACCACTTGCACACAGCGAGAACACAGGCTAAAGCCACAGTTCGAAGGCAGAGTACCACCCATAACAAACTGCTAGCACACATCTTTTTTTTTCAACACACAAGTTTGCAATAGAAGCGTTCGCGCGGCCTCTTTTCAAATTGCAAAGACGCCGGCAACGAATGGATATGGCAAAAAAATTTTTTCTTTACTTCACCAGTAATAAATAGTCTACATTATCGCGTGTTTAACATTGATACAATGCTTTGATGGAAGTATACGCGATTACTTTTTAGTGGTGGACAAGCTATTTATTCACGAGATACAACCTGTGGAATGATTGTTCAAAATATAGTAGCAGAACTTTCACAATCACTTTTCTATGCAATTTTTTTCGAAAGACTAGCTTATCTACTGACTCGGTATGGTTCAATAAGAATAACTTCTTTTTAAGGCATATGAAGAAGTGGCACCAATTCTTCAAGAGGCTACCACGAGGACAATTAGGCATAGTCAAAGCGCTGCATCGTAGGCTGCCAGGACAGCCCAATTTTGATGACCATACACTGATTTCGTGAGGGCAAAACTTTTTAGGAGCGGATCATTTCTTGCCAATGGGTGTGTCACACGTCCATAGTTCGCACTCACACTATGCATGAGTGAGTGAGTGAGCGAGCGGTTATTGATAAGAGGAAAAAGGCACTTAATTTCTGTATGCCTCTTGGGCGACACGGCACAGTGCCTTGCAGGGGAGGGGGGGGGGAAGGAGAGATAAAAAGAATAGTCGAAAGATATATTAAAAATAAAACAGGCAAGCAACAGAAACAAATGGCCCCGTATCTACATGTTTCAGTGCAAATTTCATCGAAAGACGATAGTCTTACGTGTGGAGAGAGTGAACAAAACGTTTATTTGAGGTTCTGCATGAGAAAATCGGTGAATTGTATTCTTGAAGCGCTGCGTTAGAGAGTATGGATCCGTGCTACGAAGGCGGATGAGTGCATCGAGGCACGTTAGACACGAGCGCTATCTGGCAGTCATCTTCGAAAACGAACAGGGTGGTGGTGGTAAAAACATTTAACAACAAAAAGGAGGTATGCAGTGACCGCCTCATAAAACGACGGCACCTAGAAAGAGTAGATGGGGATCCCTAGTACGGGACCCCATTGGTGCCGGCTGCTGCCTGGGCTCGTCGAAACAAGGCCTTTTGGTCCTAAAGGTTGGAGCAGCCAAGCAGGGTCACCTCCCCCTCCTCTCGTGTAGGGATGGGTATAGGGGGTACAGCTGGGTTGCATGGGCAGATGTACAAGATGTAGTAGATGTCCAAAGACTTCTCCCCACAGAGTGAGCAGTTGGCCGAAAAGGCGGGATCGAAATGTTTAAGGGCTGCCGGGCACACTATAGTGTTCCTAAAGATTCGGAGTAAAAGCCGCTCCTCCGCTTTACTTAGGCTTTGCGTGGGCGTGAACAAAGGCTGTGATTGAATTGGTAATAGTCTGGAATTTCCAGAGAGGATATACCGAGCTGAATTTGAGTAGAAATTCCTGGTAAGAGAGCGCGTGGGCGGTGGTGTCGGCTGCCTCAATCTCTTCGAGTCTCATGCATCTGAACAGGCGCTCAGATTATACGGCGAGGTGCAGGGATTTCCTGATAGTGCAAACATTGCAATAAGAAAACGAAGGAATGTGTGCGTGCCCACAAAGAAAGATGCGCGCCTTTCTTAAAGGCGAGAAGGTGTAGAACGCAAAGCGACGGGCAGGTGTCACTATTGTGTCGTCTTAGCAAAGCGTTGAAAACACCTGCCTTTTTCAGTTTTGCGCTGCATTGTCAGCGCAGCATGATCACCGCTATGGTCCTTAGAATTACTTAGCTGGGCCTCTTCTAGCATAAAGGCACACATACAAAGTATTACCATGTTGTTATTGTGCCTCAAATATGCGCAATAAATTGTTTTAATTGACAATCGCACAAGTATAAACGCTGAAACTTGAGCAATATTGGTGGGTGCTGCGGATGCGGTTAGTGGTTTGGGGTATCGTTTGTTGCCGTTTCGGGTTTCGTGACGCGGGCAAACAGACAGACAGGCAAAAATTTTGTTGTCGAAGGTCCCCGAGAAAAACTATCGTTTTTAAAAGAAGGAGACAGGAAAGTTGGGAGCCACTCGAAGAAATCTGAGGACGAGGCACCTCAAGGCGAGAGCTGCACAGCGTTAGGAGGTCGCGGAGGGCGAACCGGTCGGCGAGGGCTACGCTGGCGTCGGAGATCGCGGACGGCACAACCGTTCAGCTTGAAGTCCATGAAGCAACTCCACATGCCCGGTTTTGTTCTTTTTCTCTCTCTAATACTTGTGCGCGGCTTTGTTATTTTCCTCTCTATAATAGTTGTGAGTTGCTTTTGCCTGCTCTCCTATCACCTACTTGGCCTTCCTTCCCTATCGTGCAAGGGCGTCCCCTCCCCTACCTTCTCTTCTATGCTTCCCTATCCTGCATTGCAACGCCGATGCAGGGAGCGTTCGCTAACATGCGCTCGCCCTCCGCCCCCCCCCCCCCCTCCGCTAGGCATTTCTTTCCGCGGCGTCTCACAAAACTGACAAAGGCAGCGTCTGCTAACGAGTTCCTTGGTTGAAAAATGCGGCTGTTCGGGCAGCACAACTGCGATGCTCCGCACCACCCCATGGTCCCTTTCAAGAAGATGGTGTAGTTTTTGGGGGGCAAAGCTCCTTAAGCCATGGGTCATGCGTCCTTGATGCATGTAGTAATAGCGGGTAGCAACCTCTGAATTAGTCCTTTGAATGTCCACTGGATGGCGGTACATGTAAATATGTGATGAAAAGGTGCGAGATGGCGCTTCTTCAAATGTTCATATGTGGACGAATAGACGGATGGACAGACAAGCAGACAGACAGACATACATACAGACAGATGGACGAAGGGACGGACAGCGAAGGGACGATTCACAGTTCACCGATGAAAATCTTCGAAGTTTTGCCGCACTCATCATTATTCTCTCCTTGTATATGCTGTGATGTTTAAAATGCGAATTCATTTCTCAGTCGGGCTATGTCAGGCATTCGGCATTTTCCGCGGCGTCCGCGTAGGGGGAAGGGGTGTTTAGAAGAAGAAGAAGGCACCTAATTCCTGCATACCGGCAGGGAGCACGGCGCAGCGCCTGCCAGCAGGTGTTAAGTCTCCGCTCTCACCTCCCTTTTCCATGGCAGCAGCTGTGGACTTGCGCACTTACCCTTGCCGGACTCACAATTTCGGCGCCGCAAGCCAAGGCCCTCGTCGTTCACCCTCGTGCTGAGGCCCGACGACTCTGCCATGACATCGGCTAGATAGTGCGCCGATGGTTTGGAGCAGGGACGTCCGCTACCTCGGCTTCACAATAGACAATCGCCTCCGATGGTTTTCGCTGGTGCGGTGCGTACTCCAGGCGATGCGTCGCGTGGAATAGGCTGTTCGACGTCTACTTGCCCGTGGCAATGCCTGCCCCGCTGCTTTCGCCTGCTCTATATACGAGGTGATGGCTTTATCTACCATGCACCACGCACTGCCGATCTGCAAACTCCAAGCACCACAGTGGCGACTCATAGAGCAAGGCTAACGCCATGCCATCCGCACGTGTCACGGAATGCTTCGTAGCTCTCGTGTGGCTGAGACACTGGCGGAAGCTCGCACGTGGCCTGCGTCACTCACGGCAGACCTGCGCGCACTGTGCCACTTGGAGCGTTTCCACCTGGCACCCGATGCAGCCCCCTGCTCGCGCGGTTACCATGCTGTGCCAAATTCTCGTGTGGCCCAACTCCTGGACGTCTACAACGGCCTTGTGGCCGACAATCCCGCGCGTCCTTCGCGCTGGCCGCCACCTCACTGGCGAGTGCCCCTTCGAGTGAATATGCACTTGCAGGGAGTTTGATCGAAGCGCCACAACCCGCTCTGGGCCATGACGCAGGAGGCTGAGGTGCGAATGTACGGGGACCTGGCCGAAAGGACGCAAGTGTTCTCTGATGAGTCCGTCTTGCGAGTTGGCTCTGCTGCAGCCGCCTGCATAGCCCCTCATCTTGGCCGGAGTGTCAGTGGCGCTTGCGGTATTGTGCATCCTGGACAACAGCTGAGCTAGCTAGGCTTTTGTTGGCTGCCGACCTCCTACGCGAGTCGCCAGCCGTCAAAAGCGCAGCAATATTTTGCGACTCAGAACCTGCCCTGAATCAGCTGGCGAGGGAGGAACGAGGCCCGCTTCTGGCTCAGCGCGCTGCACGCAGCTTACTGGCTCTTCAAGAGCGTGGCTGTGATCTTGTGTTCCAGTGGGTCCCGTCACACGCCGGTATCGTGGGTAACGAGGCTGCTGACGAACTTGCCAAACGAGCACGCTTCGCCGACACCCCGCTAATTGATTACGCAAGCTCTTTCGACTCGGCACGCAACAACCTTCGCCGGGCGCTAACGCACGAGCATACCGATGCTCGGGTTGCCACCAAACGTCCCCCTTCTCTCATGCCAGCGACTGGTTTCACCCGCCACGATTGAGGGCTCCTCCTAGCCCTGAGGACCAGCTCGGTAAGGCGATCTGAATGGAGGCATCTTCTGCGTGGCGCGAGCTGTACGAACTGCGCTGATGGCGGCGCGGTGGACACACTGTCCCACCTCTTGTGCGAGTGTCCTGCTTAAGGTCCCTACATCTAGGGATTTTAGTCCTGCTCTCTGTAAAGCAAGCAAGCAGCTCGTGAAAAGATACCGTCTCGTCGGACTGCCATGTGCGACCCTGCTGGACCTCCTCTCACCATCGCCGCTCTATTCTTGTGGCCTTACTGGACTTTCTTGAGGACACCGGCTTGATCAAGCTACTTTTATAAGCCGCTTCCCACGGTGAAACACATCCTCCTCCCATCACGCGAGTTTTCTTTTTTACCCTCCTCGTTGATTTCACCCCCTCCCCTATCCTTTCAGCCTGCTTTCTTCACCCTAACTGTCTCCTC